ATCTGGTCAGCCTCCCCATCCCCCCAGGGGTGCAGGGGCTGGGGTAGGGTGTCCATGCAGGGGGATTGGAATAGCTCCCCGTGGCTTCTTCCTCTTCCTTCTTTGTAGACCAGACTCCTGTCAGGCACTCTCTTCAGACCCCCGGGAACTTGGCTGCAGCCACCTGCCCCCTGCTGTGTGCGCAGCCTCCTGCTGGTATGTCAATATGCAAATTGGTCGTTACTGTGACACTGTTAGGACCAAATTAGCATATTATCTCTTTATATATATAGATTATATTATTTTCCATATTAACAACCATAAGCCTACTTTTTCTCACCTCTGTATATTAAAAAAATAATACATCAAACAAGGCTGCTTCAATATTTGAAAATCAACTGATGAAATCCACCATATTAATAGGCTAAAGAAGAAAAGTCGCATGGTCCCATGGAAAAAGAGCTTCTTGCTATTTCCCACTTATAGTTAATGAAGCCAAACTGATCTTTCACACACTCCACAGTGGCCCTACTCAGTGGTAATGCTGTAGGCCATAGTCTGTACATTTTGGCCTAGGACACACAATTGGAATTTGACACTCTCCCTTTTCTGCAAGCAATCCCCTTTGTTGGCCATTCCAACTATGCCAAATGCATAGACCTTATCTTTCATATTCCTTTCCTCCATGATCTCAATTATTTCTTGGTACTCAGTCTGTGTTGGATCAACACTCCTCAAGGGGTTAATGATTTTATCAGAGTACATGGTAGGATCAGCTTCTTCAGTAATGCCATTCACTGAGAGTGTTTTGTTGACTTTTTCTGCACTGACTTTGCTGCATTTGCCTTTGGGCAACTTGTACTCCTTCATGTCTCCCAGTTCCAGGCTACTGACATCACCAGAGAACTCACTGTAATGGGGAAAAAAATTTTTCTTACAGCGATTCGCTGTTTCAATAAATTCAAAATTATCCTTCAGAGTCGCTACATAACTGACGAGCCTTTTGGAGTTAGAATTACGACCTAAAAGTCACACACAGATTACAATCTACTGTCCAGGCTTGTTTGTCACTAATAATAAGTTCAACCTTATTTCCTATGTGAGGAGAAGTGGATCAGTGGCTTGAAAGTAATAGTCAATTTCACTCTACAATCGTTATAAATAACATTCTTAGCCTGTTTTTTGTTTCTTTGTTTGTTTTTGCCTTTATTTGAGTTTAGTGGTTTTAGGATTTTTAAAAAAGTGACTTCTTTTTCTACAGTGCCCAGAAAACTATGATCTGAATAGAAGTGGAATAAAACTGTGCCCTTGGGATACTTTTTAATCCTAGCGCCATGATTTCTTAGGGCAGAGAGCATATTAGGAAGTATAGTATAGTAAACTCGACTTCCTCGGCGATATGCATCTAGTTCCCATGGAGAATTTCACTATAGTGGAAGAACATAGGAGCATCATTTGATGATGAATCCATACATTTGATGAAATCAAAACCATCTTGTATGATAGCAATTACACCCATTTTTCTGGCTTCATCACTGAACCAGGATGGACTTGATAGAAGTTCTATGTTGGTTGCTCATTGTAATTTGTCACTTAGGTCTGTTGAAGTATTAAGCTTAGCATGGTCACCTTCCAACAGGGTCACCTTGGATTTTGTATTTGTGGCTACAAAGGGAAGTTCTTTAGGAATCACAAAGTCTACTTCGATCTGTCCTGTCAATGGATCATTCTCTTTTTTCCAGAGTGCTTTTGGGATCACATTGGTTACAGTTCCTTCAAAATGTTCAATGCGGATATCTTCAAAAATGACTGTTCCTTGAGGCAATAGTCTGACATCTATTTCAACTTCCTTATCATTACTGTCCTTGTTATGAATTCCACATCGTCTCCAGGTTGTAAGGCTCCTAAGTCACCCTTAAATTCACTATAGTGAAAGAGTATTTCTTTTATAACATCACCTCTTTCATTAAAGACAAACACCTCCTCCATGGCACAAACTACTCTCTGACAGCAGGCTTGTTTGTTTTTCAACAGCATGTTTCAAGCACTTATAGCACCAGTATGCTTATTGAGATCAATTACAAAGTTTATTTTAACTCCAGTTTCCAGCTGGACATTTTCTTCCACATCTTCAGGACCTGTAAGTCAGATGAAACACTTCTTGTCCATTTATTCATTCTTCAAGGAGGATTTCTGCTTTTATCTTCACCAGTTTAACAGCAATGGGTTTCCGCTGGTCAGATGATACTTCAAATTCAACATTATCTCCTACTTTTAAGTCCTGCAGGTTTCCATTATGCTATGGAAAGTGGAAGAAAAGTGTAGCTTGACATTCTGAAGACTGAATAGACCCGTTAGAGGTTATCAGTTTTTCAATAACCCACTTTCACACAGTGCTGCTGAAGTATCATTGGGGTACCAATTGTGTCCATTGTTGTGGAGAAGATTTGGATCAAAGCTCATCTCTCAGTGATAATCAGATTATTGCACTTTCAGTAGTAATTGCTGATTCTTCTTTTTCAACACATTCCAAAGGATGAAAGTTGCTAGTATTTAAAAAAATGAGAAAAAATGACCTAAAGCTAATAAAGAATACAACTGCTGTTGCACTGGGCAATCTCACAGTGCAGCAATGAAAACAACGAAGATGACTGACTAGTGGTGCTGGGAAGTGCTAGTTCAAAGTTTTTGAGAGGCACAGACTTCTTATTTCAGATCAAGTGTTGTATACTCATCTTTGATCTTATTGGTTGTTTCAAAGTTTGTTCCTTGCCTGGTCTAAACTTGAAGCAGTAGTTTCAGGTGGCAAAGTCTCTTCTATTACACTTCATACCCCACAGCTCAGTGCCCCCTCCCCAGCAATGCAAGAAGCAGCATGCCTAGTGCATAGAGTTTATTTTGGTTTTTTTTATATTTTATGTATAAGTGAAATCATATGGAATTCTTCTTTCTCTGTTTGACTTAGCATTATACCCTCTAGGCCCATTCATATTGTGGCAAATGGCAAGGTACCTTCCTTTTACTGGCCGAGTAATATTCCATTGTCTATATGTACCACTTCTTTATCCATTTGTCTATCAATGGACACTTAGGCTGCTTTCATATCTTGGCTATGGTAACTCATGCTGCAATGAACATAGGGATGCATATGTCTTTCTGAACTAGTGTTCAGGGTTTCTTTGGATAATACTCAGAAGTGGAATTGCTGGGTCCTTCTTTGTCTCCTATTATGGGTTTTTAAAAAAGTTTATTTTGCCTGCTGTAAGTACTCCTGCCCTTAATTTCAGTTTCATTTGTTCTTATAGTTTCAGCAATAGCATGCTATTGAGGTGTGGATATGTGTGTGTGTGTGTGTGTGTGTGTGAGAGAGAGAGAGAGAGAGAGAGAGAGAGAGAGAGAGAGAGAGAGAGAATAAATACTAGGACATTTATTCCCATATCTTTATAGTCTGATATTTCCCACCCCACGTTTGATAAGTTTGTTGTCTACTGAATTTTGCCCACAACTCTAACACTATATTTATTCTGTTGGAGCCTTTTGTTCAAAATGTTTTTCATAATATTGAAATATTATATTTAGAATAAATTAAGGAGTCACTCAGCATAACTTCTCTCTCTAAATTCATAAATAATGACTCATGTACAAATTTAGAAAACAAGTAATTCCTGAGTGCCTAATCTGTACCAACCTTCTTGTAAACATTGAAGAATATGGGCTTTTGAGCCAACTTTTAGATATGGAAGGTTAGAGAGAGAAAGAAAATTAAAGAGAAGCCAACAACTGAGAATTATAATGGAAATATAACTGAAATAAAGCAATAAGTATAATTAAAATTTTGGGGGAGTGTTCTAGGGCCAGAAACTAATAATTAGTACAGAGGTATTACTGCAAAGATTTTTCAACTGCAAATGTGAGGAGAGAGTCTTTCAAAAGATTGCTGGCCAACTTTTGGCCTGGTCTTTGTTATGCAGTTCATTTATTCAGTCACAAGAGGGGGTTGGTTCATCTGCAAAAAAACATTTCTTTCTGGGAGAAGGGCAGATAAATGTTTTCCATTGACATTTTATAAGGGAAAAAAGGCATACTTTCTTCCTCGTCAGACAACCTGTACTTTATAATTTCTTATTGAATATGTGTGGTCAAAGACTCAGGGACCCTTAGACCAATAGCCTAAGTCCTATACATGTACCTCCATAAATAACTTTCTCTCCCTTCTTCTCCTTGATTATCTCTTACTTTCCTTATTCTTTATATATGTTTTTCTTCCTTCCAATAACCTTTCTACAATCTCCACCTCCTCCACCATTTTTGCTTTTCCTCTTCTCTTTTCTTTCTGCCTCACCATCCCTGGTGCACAGCACCCATAGCCTGGCATAGAGAAGATGAATTTTAAGGATATTTCTTTAAGGAGAAGAGGATGAGCACAATTTATGTAATCAGTTACTATATCAAAAGAAGATGCATTGAAGTGTCTACCTAGACAATAGTAGATATCATGATTCCAGGAAACTATAGGAAACCTGAGCTCCCAAAGGTGTAGCTTTTAGCTTCAACGCTGTTAATTTTTCCTGTCCCTTTGAGCACATCACTGACTTCTTTGGAATCTCACATGCATCTTCTGGTATGTAGATAGAAATTTCATCTTCTTACAGCACAGAGCTCAGTACAATTTTCTGGGATTAAATGATACTTTGTATAAACTCCTTGGAGCATCAGCCAATTTCTTTGGTACATTGAGGAAGAAATTATGGAAGAAAGATCCTGTATAGAAACATCCTCGTGATTTGTTTTCCTTATCTAGAGTCAAACTTTAAACCTCACAAATAATATCAGTGGGCACCCTGAGAGTTGGAGATATCTGGTCGACATTCTCCCCTTCTTCTTGGGGGCATAGATAAAACAGGGGAGGAAGATCTAGAGAAGGAGCTGCTCTATCATTGGCTGACAAGATCCTGGCAACATCACAGTGGTAGCTGCAGTTGTAAGTCTTTTCTAGTAGCTGTTGCTTCTCTTATCTGGAATCTCTTTAAGACTCAACTCAGACACAAAGACTGAACTTTGGACTCATGATCCCAGTCCTTCCTTGAAGTATGAGGCTGCTGACTGGAGTAACTGTGTTTCTGACCTTGGGTAAGTGTTCTGTGCCTACCAAAAGGGACCTTGAAGGGTTATTCGCTCTCTAGTTCTCTCCCAAACTAGAGTTGGAGCTGAGAACTGATGTATGCATTTGTCTAGGGAGAACAAACTTCTACATGACAGATTAAATCATAACCATGATCCCAGAAGAACCCTTAGCAGTATCCAGATTGTAAGAAATTTCTGGGTTTATTGAGCCAAGGACCCGTGGGATAGAGTCTATGGAGTCTCTGATTTTTGGCATGTACCTTTGGTCTCCATAACACACATTGATAATATGTTTTGCATTCTAGAAGGACATAAATAAAAGCACTATAGTATGGGGTAGAACCAAAGAGTTATGGACTGTTGTGTCCTTGATCTATAGATGCTAATTTGAATTTCTTAACCCTTTAGGGGCTGTGATTGATGCTAAGATCACCCAGCCCAACTCCATGGATTATGCTGAAGGAAAAGATGTGAACCTGCCTTGTAACCACTCTACCATCGGTGGAACTGACTATATACATTGGTATCGGCAAAATCCCAACCAAAGGCCACAGTATATAATTCATGGCTTACGAAACAACGTGACTAACAACATGGCCTCTCTCATCATCACAGAAGACAGAAAATCCAGCACCTTGATCCTGCCCCAGGTTACCTTGAGAGACTCTGCTGTGTACTACTGTGCTGTGAGTGACACAGTGGGACAGACGGGGCTGCACCTGTGCAATATCTCCCTGGCAAAAGAAGGTGGGGGAGGCAGCAGCTATTCAGAGCAAATCTAGAGCCATCTAGGAGCATCACAGAGCAATATGAAAGGAGGAAAATGAAGGGAAGGAAGCAGGAGAACATGAATAAGGAAAACAAGAGAGACAGGGTAAAGAGAGGACAAGGAATAAGCACTTAATTTGTTGGTGTGGCTGAGAAGTATGAGGAAACTAAGAATTATAAGGTTAACGTAGCAAATAAAGTAAAGAGGCATTAAGAATTTGTCATGGCTTCTCTGCATGTCAATAAAATGTTGGTTTCAGTATTTTAGCCTAAAAAAAATATGGAGGAAAAGAAAAATAATTATACTTGTCCCAAAGGTGCCTTTTATTTGGATGCAGAGATAAGTCCAAGTCTGGAAATGCATGCTACTATAGTTGTTCTGCTTATCAGAAACAAATTACCCTTTCTCTAAGAGAAATCTGAAATGTTATTTTTGTTGTTGTTAGTCTAGAGCATGTATATTTGTGATAAAGAAGTTCTTTTGGAAAGAAACAATTAAATTAATATTAATTTATTTTTAAATGTCTAGAAGTCCTGCATCTAAAAAAGAATTTTCATAATATTTTGATATTCCATAAACAATTCAAGCAGAGCTAAAGTATATCTCCTTCATTTCACTGTAGCTTCCACTGTCCTTCTCAGAGTTTAAGATTATTTAAAGTATCATGCCAGACTGATTTCTTTCAAATAAATAATTTCATGCAACTACATACATATTTACACACACATATATACACCCACATACAACTTATCATTTAAATTGGATTTACTTGAATTTTTTGCCACTTACCTTCTGTGTTTTTTTTTTATTGCTTAAAGTATTACCAAGGGTGTTACATATGTGACCTTTTTTTTTCCCCGCCCTTGACAATCCCTTGGCCTCCCCTACCCCCCAGTGTCTTATGTCCATTGGTTATGCTTATATGCATGCATACAAGTCCTTCAGTTGATCTCTTACCCGCCTCCCTCCTGCCCCCCAACCCTCCCCAGCCTTCCTGCTGCAGTTTGACACTCTGTTTGAGGCAGCTCTGCTTCTGTATCTATTATTGTTCAAAAGTTTATAATGGTCTCTATTATCCATGAATGAGTGAGATCATGTGGTATTTTTCCTTCATTGACTGGTTTATTTCACTTAGCATAATGCTCTCCAGTTCCATCCATGCCATTGCAAATGGTAAGAGTTCCTTCTTTTTTACAGCAGCATAGTATTCCATCGTGTAGATGTACCACAGTTTTCTAATCCATTCATCTACTGATGGGCACTTAGGCTGTTTCCAGATCTTAGCTATGGTGAATTGTGCTGCTATGAACATATGGGTGAATATATCCTTTCTGATTGGTGTTTCTGGTTTCTTGGGATATATTCCTAGAAGTGGGATCACAGGGTCAAATGTGTGTGTTTTTTAAATACTGTCCTGGAGATTTTTCTACAGTAGAAAAAAAAAGTGTAGAAGTCTACTTCCTTCTTTTTTATGTCTCTATAGTACTTTGAAAATTCCATCATTTAATTAATTACTTTCCTATTTATGGATATCTGTTTCTATTTCTTTGCTGTCACAAAGAACTTTCTCATACATCTTTGTATATTAATTTTTGTATGTATGTGGAATTATATATTTTAATGAGATTTCTGAAATTGAAATTGCTAAGTCAAAGAAAGGCACATTTAAATTTTTTGGAGAAAATTACAATTTGTCCTCCATATGGTATATACTCCAACTTTCAGTGAGTGAGAGGGCTTATTTTACAAATTGAGAGTTACAAGTATTTTTTCTACTTTAACAACCTAAATATACTTTATCTATTTGCATTTTCCTGATTCTTAGTGCTTTTTGAATTTTTTTTCTCTCCATATATTGGCACACTATCATTTGCTCTTGGCTAATGCTTATACCTACTTTTTGACCATTTTTCTATTGGATCTTCTTTTTTGTAGGAATTATTTCTATATCATGGAGGGTATTTTGTTTGATTATTTTATTCTTACATGCTAGTTTCTATTTTGTTTATTGTTAAATGTGGTGGTCTTTAATTTTCACATCATCTAATCTATCAAGTATTTATTTCTTTTTGTCTTCAAAGGTCAGTGTCATTTCAGGAAAGCCCTGAATGAATTATATCTTTTCATCTTCATTACTGTTTAATGAGTTTGAAATGAGATTGAAAAACTTGCCAACATCACAGTCTTAATAAGTGTTATCATCAACTTTTTCATTTATTTTTAAACCTGAGGTTGTCAAGCTTCAAAATCTGAGCATATGTTATTTAATCTTGCCGTACTTGAAGCAATAGTATGAAGAAACCTTTTGGAATAATGAACCAAGTGGAAAGTCAGTGGAATGAATCATAGTACCCATCCCAGAAGGTGACACGTATTTTAAAGCAAAATGTCAAAATATTAGAGTAGGAATCCTGAGTTATGAGTTGAGAAAAGCAATGGTTCCTTATCCTATTAAAAGATAGTGTTGGCTTCCTAAATATTCAAATAGCAGCATAAATAAATGTTCTTAATTATAGAGAGATTTTGAAGCATCCATAGCTCCTTTTTAGCTACACATTTTCTGAAGCAAAACTGATATAGAAGAAATTAGTACACAAGGCAGAGAAAATAGGAGAGAGGAGTTCTGATCTTGGTGTGAATGGCATTCAAGATATTCTTGGATCTTCAAAAAGGCTGAGAAATTTGTCCTAGCACATAAGATGTGTACTTTTGATTAAAAACAAAAAGATCTTCAAATAATAAAACAAGCAAACTGACAGAAAAATGTAAAGGTCTTAAGCAGGTACTTTACAAAAGAAGATATTCAAATGTAAAATAAACATGCCATTTCTATAAAATAAAAAAAGCAGACATAAGGAATCTATATTGTTAGAAGTCAGAATCGTGTTAACTATGGAACAGAATCATAAAGGTCATAAAGGGAATTCTGAAGTGTTGATGATGTTCTGTTTCTTAATCTGGATGCTGATTATAAGGGTGTCAATATTTTGAAAATTTATCAAGATGCACATGTATAATGTATTTATACTTTCTTTTATGTATCTTAAACTTCAATAAAAAAGTTTAATATGCTACAATGGCCTCATTAATTGCTAGGTGATGTGTGAGCTTAAAATAAAATTTCAGGTGTTCTAATTTTTCCTTTTTGTACCTAAAATATATAAATAAGTACACATTTGTTAAATAAACATGACTTTAGACCAGCCGTGGGCAAACTACGGCCTGCGGGCTGGATCCGGCCCGTTCAGCTGTTCTATCCGGCCCGCGGAGCCGAAAGATCGGCGGGTTCTCTTGCTCTCCCCTCTGCTCCTTCACCAGCAGCAGTGTTAACATGGCATCGTAGGGAAACACGGCCTCAGCTCCTTCTTCTGAGTCCAGCTTAAGAACCCACTGTGGCCCTTGAGTCAAAAAGTTTTCCCACCCCTGCTTTAGACCATGACTAAATCTGACTCTTTATTAAAATACCATAAATGAGAAATGTCTTTTTTTCCTCTGTCTGGGATACAAATGTAGGACTTTTGAGCCTTGATATGTAGTATCAAGATGCCTAGCTATTGTACTCTTTTTTTAAAATATTTTATTTTATTTTTTACAGAGAGGAAGGGAGAGGGATAGAGAGTCAGAAACATCAATGAGAGAGAAACATTGATCAGCTGCCTCCTGCACACCCCAACGAGGGATGTGCCCGCAACCAAGGTACATGCCCTTGACCAGAATTGAACCTGGGACCTTTCAGTCTACAGGCCGACGCTCTAGCCACTGAGCCACCCAAGTATATGGTGACACCAAACCTGCAAAAGTCTGGGAAAGGTATGTATTTTTATCTAAGAGCTTTGACAACTAAAAGAATATCAGGATTCTATAAGTCAGAAGTAAATTCACTATTTGTAGGTGATGAATAGTACTTGTTATAACTTTAAACATTAAAGAGTCCCATTGCATTGTGTCATATTATGTGGTCAATAAGAATTGCTAGCCAATATCTTTGCCATAATTAACATTATCCCAGAATTGAGTGCATGGTTCAAGTTTGCTGTCATAGTGTAAGAGGTTCATCCAGTCTTTTGGATTTGACAGGGCAATTAAGTGGAAGAGAGAGGGGAATGTGTTGATTGATGGCATTTATAAAAGAGCTTTGGAATTGTTGTCTTTAGACACCATATCAGATAAGGAAGCAAGAGAAGATAAGAGAGAAATTATGTTTAAAAAAAGCAGAGGGAACAAATACTAAATTATCAATCGATAGGAGAGCAAGAAATAAGACTCATAGTCAACCTAAATAAACATTCAAAAGTCTCCCAGCCTCCATTGCAGAGACCTACGCAATTATTTACGAGCAATGAGCGCAGTGATCTAGGGCTTTAGGGATGGTGCTTTGGGTGTGCCCTCTGCCACAGGGCTTTGAATGTGAGATAGGGATACTTTTTTCTACAGCTTGTTGATGTAAGAAATGTCCAAGCCTGTAAAGATTTTTATAAGAATTTATTTGAGCCAAACAGAGGATATGCCTACAAGCAAGATCTCAACAGACTAAGATACAGTCAAACCTTGGTTCTCAAACATCTTCCATCTTGAACAATTCAGTTCTCAAACAAGTTGTTCACAGGAAAAAAAATGTCTCAGTTGTTGAAACAAAATTAAAGTTCTCAACCTAACAACCCTTTCATACTGATACATCAGCGTGACAAAAAGCAGCTCTCAGGCCACAAAGAAGAGATTGCGAGTCAGTTTTCCACTAAACCTCATGTTGTTAACATCTCAGAAAATTGTGCTGTGAATATTTTGTGTGTGTGATGTGTGTTTTGCTTTTGTTGTTGGCAAAATGGACAATTAGCACAATTTTAAAAC